CGTAACAAGAGACAAGGACATATACATACATAGTGGTATAGGGTTCAGGCCAACAAGAGGATATAGCCATTTATAAATATCTATGCACCCAATATAGGAGTACCTAAACATGTGAAACAAATAATAACAGAATTAAAGGGGGGAAATAGAGTGCAACACATTCATTTTAGGAGACTTCAACATACCACTCACACCAAAACACAGGTCAACCAGACAGAAAATAAGTAAGGAGGCAGAGGCACTGAACAATACATTAGAACAGATGGACATAACAGACATCTTCAGAACACTCCACTCAAGCAGCAGGATATATATTCTTCTCAAGTGTACACGGAACATTTTCCAGAACAGATCACACACTAGGCCATGAAGAAAACCTCAATAAATTCAAGATTGAAATTGTGCCAACCAGCATCTCAGACCACAAGGTATGAAACTAGAAATAAATTATGTAAAGAAAACAAAAAAGCCCACAAACACATGGGGCTTAACAACATGCTCCCAGATAATCAAGGGATCAATGGCCAAATAAAAACAGCAATCAAGCAATATATGGAGACAAATGAAAACAACAACTAAGCAGTCCAAAACCTATTGAACGCAGTGAAGGCAGTTCTAAGAGGAAAGTATATAGCAATACAGGCTTACCCTAAGAAACAAGAACAATCCCACATGAACAGTCTAAACTCACAATTAATGAAACTAGAAAAAGAAGAAGAAATGAGGCCCAAACAAAGAAAACTATTGAACTGAATAGACAGGCCTGACAACATGGGTATGGAGTAAGTATGTAGTAAAAGTCACATTGATGTTCTTGGAAAGAGTTGTTCAGTAGGGTCTGAGTAAAGAGAACTTGAGATAATGATCATCATAAAAATGTTCATATCCTTTGACCATTTACTTCCACATTTAAGACTCTAGGTTAAGAAAATACTGCTAAATATGGAAAAACTAGTTTCAAGCTCCTTATCCTAACATTATTTATTATGAAAAATTGGAAACAACCACAATATATAATTGAGAAATGGTTAAATTACAGGATTGTCAGTGAGTGAAATATTATGCATACATTAAAAAACGATGATTATGAAAACTAGTTTCATAACTAGGGAAAAGCCACTTGGAATTAATGAATTTAGAAAGTGATCCAAGCAGCATAGTTTGACTCTCCTTTCAGTTACTAAAAGAGGCTTAAAAGTGAAATTCCTCTGTTGTACATAAAAAGAAATTTCAGTTGAATTAAAATTAAAACATGAAATCGTAAAGCCTTGAAAGAAAAAAATGGGTTTCTGTTTCTATGAACACAATGAGGAAGACATAAACATGAAAGTAATGGAAGAAACCATGTGTATTGATAGATTTAACTGCATATAATTTTTTGTATATTAAGAAAACCAGAAGCAAAATAAAACTAAAAGGCAAAAATACTTGGGAATACATCTGGGACATATTACAGAGGACTGGTGATTGATATTTGAAGTGATCTTACAGAGCGATAAGGAAAAGATGAACTAGTCAAGTCACGAGTAGCCTACTTGCAAAAGACCTATCAATGTCAGTGATCGAAAGTAAGGGGAAAGTTCAGCTTTAACAGTGATCAAAGAAATGTAAATCTAATGGAATGCTTTTTATTTCTCTCAAACTGTAGAGTTGAACAAAGCCTGCCCAAGGTTGTAGAAGAATTTGCTTTTGGAGAGCAGCTTATGTATCAAAGTCCTTTAATCGTTTGCAATAATCGCATTTGTTGCCCTCTGTGAGGCGTAATGTTAAACATTGGACAAGGATTATCTCATGTAATCCTCAAAATTACACTTTTCTGTAAATGTGGTTTTTCCATGATAGTAATGGGGAAATTGAAGTATTGGAATAATCCAAACTTCCTTGCGGTCACTTAGCTTATTAGAGATGGAGCTAGAACATCAAACCCAAGTGACATGTCTCCAGAACCTGAACCAAACATGCTTGTCTGAGAATTTATCCCCCCAAAATACTTGGGTATATGTGTCTAAATATGTTTATCACAATATTTGTAAGAGCAGAACCTTTTAAAACAATTAAATGCACAACATTCTATTCCATAGAATACAGTGCGGCTATTAAAAAATCATGTTGAGCCAGGAGATACTCATGGAAAAATGTGGTTCTATTAAGTGAAAGGAGCAGATTTCAAAACCATATTTATAATAGAAGAGTACAGTTTTTAAAAATGGGTGTGCACAAATGAAGGACATACATTAAAACACTGAAAATGTTTTTCTATTTGGGGAACAGGGTTATAGGCTTCTGTTTCTGCTCAGTATGTAAATAGCATTAATGATGCCTGGTGTGCCCCACTTAGCCTAATTTACAGACTCTCTTTAACAGATGACATAACTTGGGAGTGATGATCTTACAAGAAGGATCTTGGGTATCTAAACAAAAATTTACCTTGCAGCTCTTATAATAGCAAACTTCCCTTGTGTATGCAATGACATATGCATGTACAAAATCTTAGGGGTATATGATTGCAAGGCAAGTCCTGTGTATTTTAAATGCCTTACTTTCTGTGTTAAATTTCAATTTTAATATGATGTCTATGTATCACTTCGATAACTGTTTTTCTGACCAATGCACTAGACAAAACTGACGGAATAGAAGAAATGGAGGGCATGGTGCTCCCACAATGATAAGGCACTTTTTTATTACATTATCTTTAATTATCAACTCTCATATAACTTGAGAATACTAAAATGTACTCATTGATAGTGGGTGGGGATACCCTGTATTACTCACACAAGTACTTGGAACTTTACTATAACAACTCAGAGGAAGGACTGGGAATTGTAACAAGAATTCCCAAATCAGGCTTCTAGCTCTTAAGGATTGATCAACTGCTGACTCCTTCACTGTCACTCCACATTCCCTGGTGCTTTGCCAGGCTCCCTAACTCTTTCCCATGGTGAAGACTTCAGGAATCTAAAGTTTCAACTTTTTAACCTGGTGTTTCCAGTCCTCTTTATTTGGTGTTATGCTTAGTTCAAAAACTGCCTAGTTCAAAAAAATGTTTTTACTTTTATTATGATAGGAATAGAGAACTGAACCATTGATATTCATATTACTTTTAGTTTACAGAACATTCAGCTTAGAAGTATAAGCTTTAATACAGAGTGAACATCGTGGTCCCTTGATGCCCAAGTCTGTATTTATTATTGTGTCTATGAATAGGTTCCTGGTATAAATTTACCCGTCAACCAACTGACCTATTTCTTCGCTGCAGTCCTCATTAGTGGTGTTGTACATGAAATTGGACATGGGATAGCAGCTATTAGGTAATGATATTTACCTTTTTCTTTCTACTACATGCACACAAGCTTTTCATTTGGGAGGGTTTATTACTAAAATTGGCCATGTTTTGATACTTTTTCTTTCTGTGGATCTTGCCTATTGCATATCCACCATTATTATTTTGAGGTTCTCCCTTTTATACAGGGGATTAATATATTGATGAGTATCTTCAACCATGTTCATGTCTAGGTCTTTTTATGCTTTGCCCACATAATTGTATCTTTGTCGTGCTTCATAATTTTCATCCAGTTCTGAAACTGAATATTTCTGTTCAACCATAGAGTCAGAATAATAACCACTACACTCAAGAGCCCACCCACACTGCCTTCTTAGAACTTTCTTTGGCTTACCAGTTGAAATACTTACCTGCTTCTATTCAGTGTCTCTCTGGCTCTAGAGCAAGAGCACTGAATTTGTTAACAAATACCATAGCATATGTAGAAACCCAAGTGGAAGAAGATAAAGGAGGATGAGACCTAGGACTTACTTTGAGTATCATGTCCTCTTCTTGTCTTGACTACTCAGTTGTATCACTGTAATTATATCTGAGCATTTCAAAGTCTCCTAAACCTATAAAATCTGATGGGGGAAGAGGATCAGAGCTCTTCTCCATTTCCACTGAAAATCATTACCATAATGAGCACACATAGTAACGAGAATGTGTTTTATCCCTCGGGTGTGTGGACCAGTTAAAAGGTTTTAAAACAAAAGATTTAATCACTTCTAATTACTTTCCAGTTGCTTAAGAAGAAGAGTTTATTGACTGGCAGTAAACCTTCCTCTTGACAGAGCATATACTGTTACACAGGTGTGCCATATAGTGGTTTAAGTGGGCAGCTACTTTTAAAAAATCTCAACTTTACTTCCACGTTTTCAGCATTGGCGCATCTAGGGTTTTACATATAAAAGAATTGCTAAAAGTTTAATAATTCACAGTATGTTTGGGAAATAATGTGGGTAGTTTTTTATAAAATCCCAGTTGCCGGAAAAAAGTGAATCTTAACAGTTATATATTTAGAACTGTGACAGCCCAACAGATTTTGGTGATGCTTTTTTAGAGTAGCTGCTTGGTATTATGAGGCTATTAAGTATAATTCCATTTTTAGAGAATGAATTGAAAAAAATAATTCTCTTAGAGATAATCTGAGCATTTTGCATTTTAAAGTTACTTATTTAACATTAATTCAATAGCAGTACACTTAAATCACCTTTATAATAGCTAAGACAAATGTAAATGATTAGTAGTTTACTTGAATTATATTTTCTACTGCGTTCTCTTAAAATAATTCAGAGTAAACCATAGAAATGTATTTCATTTATTTCTCATAGAAATATTAACCATTCCTTTATATATATAATTAATTTCAAGTTATTTTTTCAGCATGTTGATTTCTAAAAAATTTGAAGTTGTAAGTCTATTTCAGAATGCCATGTTTTATGAAATGCAATTTCACAGGTAACCAAGTCTATACACTACTATAAAATTATAACGTGTGTGTGTATAAATATACATATATGTAAAACATATATATAGGTATAATTTTCTTGACTGTCCATAGAGACTTTTCTTTAAGCAAGAATTTGAATTACAGTGGGAAATTTAAGATTACATACATTATTAATTTGACAAATGCAATACTAGTAGTAAATTTCTTTTTCTTATGTGATTTCTTAGGGAACAGGTTCGATTTAATGGCTTTGGAATTTTTCTCTTCATTATTTATCCTGGAGCATTTGTTGATCTGTTCACCACTCATTTGCAACTTATATCACCAGTCCAGCAGCTAAGGATATTTTGTGCAGGTAACAGACTCTTAAGTTTTTTATTCATCTGTGTGTTGTCAGTAGTTTTATAAAAAGTACTCCTGTCACAATGAAAACATCTCATCTTTTGGCTGGTAAATATAGTCTATAAGACTTTAAGTCAAAAGCAGTAGAATAAAATAATTTACATTCCAGTTTCTTAATTAAAGACAACATAAATTATTTTTAAAAGATTGAAAGTAAAGCAAGCAGAGCATACAATGCAAATGTGAATAGAAAATAAAGCATTAAGTTAGATATAGGGGGCCACTTTATACATGAATATAATACACAGTGAAAATGTAATAGTTGTGACTTACTATATCGAGTAGCAAACCATCAAAACAAAAATGGAAAAAGTACAAGGAAAAAACAAAAATACAATAAAGGAAGCTCATCTTATCTCAGCACATGCAGGTAACTGAAAAAGATCACTGAGGCTCTAATTAATAAGGTAAAAGTCAATAAATGTACAGACTATACAATGATAATTTGTCAGATATTCATGAAACTTATAAAAATTGACCAATTTAATTCAACACCATAGTTATAGTATATTTTTAAATGATGATGAAATAATACCCTAAGTTTCATAAAGGGAAAATTCATTGCCTTAAGCAGCTGTGAAATAAATGAAAGTAAATCAGTTAAGCATTTAACTGAAGAAGTGAGGAAATAATTATAAAAAATTTATTAGAAAAATTTTTATTCTGAAAAAAGAAAAATAGAACTCAAATCCAAGAATTAGTTCTTTGAAGGAAAAAAAAAAGATTAAACAATGGAAGAAAGTATCTACAGTTGACCCTTGACCAACATGGGTTTGAACTACATGGGCCACCTTATGCACAGATTTTTTTCAATTAATATTTTGTACATTTGTGATAGTTTGAAAACCATTTTCTCCAACTTTATTGTAAGAATACAGTATTGAATACAGATAAAAATATGGGTTAGCCAGGCGCAGAAAGACAAGTACCAAATGATTTCACTCATATATGGAGTATAAGAACAAAGGAAAACTGAAGGAACAAAACAGCAGCAGAATCACAGAACTCAAGAATGGACTAATAGTTACCAAAGGAAAAGGGACTGGGGAGGATGGGAGGGAAGGGAGGGATAAGGGTGGGGAAAAAGAAAGAGGGCATTACGATTAGCATGTATAGTGCGTGGGGTGTACAGGGAGGGCTGCGCAACACAGAGAAGACAAGTAGTGATTTTACAGCATCTTACTACACAGATGGACAGTGACTGTGAAGGGGTATGTGGGGGGGACTTGGTGAAGGGGGGAGCCTAGTAAACATAATGTTCTTCATGTAATTGTAGATTAATGATACCAAAAAAAATATATGGGTTATGCATTAATTGTTTACATTATCAGTAAGGCTTCTGGTCAGCAGTAGGCTATTAGTAATTAAGTTTTAAGGGAGTCAAAAGTTATATGCAGGTTTTTGACTGCACAGGGGATTAGTGCCCAACCATTGTGTTCAAGTGTCAACTGTATAAACAGAATTAGCAGGCAAATTGGGGAATAACAACTCATAGAGATAATTATAAAAGTGTTCTTTGTTCATCTCTGCAAAAAAATCTTGAAAACCTGGGTAATTATTTTTAAAAAAAGGCCTAAATTAACCTCAGAGGAAATAGAAAAAAAATCTAAATAGGCCAGTTATAATGGGAGAAAGTAAGAAAGTTGATGAAGAATGCCCCTGAAAGTTTCATAGGTGGAATTCTTTCAAATCTTAAAGGAAACTGTTTTTCTTTTTAATTCCAATTTAGTATAAATTTAACAGATCACATTGAAAAATGAAACAGATTTTTTTTTAAAGCTTATATTACACTGATAACATCTTTTAAAGCAACAAAAACTCTACAGACATATGGTGTATCTAAACGATGCAATGATGTTTTGACATTAGGAAATCTATTTGAAGGTGATAAACATTTACCATGGTGGGGAAAAAGTCTCAGCAGATCCTGAAATGGATATTTAAAATTCAGCTTCCATTAATGGCTACAAAACAAAAATCCTTAGTAAAAGTATAGCTGGATACTTCCTAATGGTGTAACACTTTTCATTCCTGTTAAAGGACAAGAGAAGCAGTAATACTATCAGTAAATGTGGGTCAGTACAATTAAAAAAAGAAAAAATATATTAGGAGTAAAGCTTTTTTTTTTTCAGATACTGTTATATACTTGGTGGGGAGAGAGATAAGAAAATCAGTGGAAATGAAATACAGAAAAATTCCAGTAAAGAGTCTGGTTACCAAATTAATATTCAAAAACCAATAGCTTGGTCGGTATAATGGGGAGGTGGGAGAGCTAGTGCGAGTGAGCGCGCATGTGAGTGTGCAAGCATGCGAGCGCACGTAGGCGGGGACACGCACGCATGCGAGCGCACGTAGGCGAGGACACGCACGCATGCGAGCGCACGCAGGCACGTGAGCAGCCGTAGCTAGTGTGTACGTGGGCGTGGGCACGTGCGCTTTATATTAACAGGAAAGCGCATGCGCCAGGTGCTTCCAGAAGCATCCGTACCTTCCTCGTCTTTGTCTTCGTCATCTTCGCCGTCCTCGTCTTCCTCGCGTCCCTCATCCCCGTCGTCTCTGCGCCTTCGGCCAGTCCGCTGCTTCTGCCTCAGCCACCCACACCTTCCTCTGGAACTTGTACTTTTCTCTTTCAGCCTTTTATCCCCACGGACTTTGTCACCCGCCAGCTGCTCAGTAGGCAAAATCTCCAGAGCTCTTCTTAGCCATGCCGTCAGATGAAGTCATCCATATTCCCACAGAAAACACGGGGACACTTATAGGTACTGTGGAGCTTGACCAGACCCTTATGTATGAAGCCGTCCCTGTGGAGACTGTCCCTGTGAAGGCCATTATTTTAGAGGCCATCCCTGTGGAAGCTGTCCCTGTGGAGGCCGTCTCTGTCGAAGCCATCCCTATGGAAGCTATTCCTATGGAGGCCATCCCTGTGGAAGCTGTTCCTGTGGAGGCCATCCCTGTGGAAGCTGTTCCTGTGGAGGCCATCCCTGTGGAAGCTGTTCCTGTGGAGGCCATCCCTGTGGAGGCCATCCCTGTGGAAGCTGTTCCTGTGGTCACCACAATGACGGGAACCATCAAGGCATACGAGATTATCAGTAGCAGCTCTGTCCATGGTGGCCACCACTATCCACCTCTTACAGTGCTGCCGCTCCTCATTAGCAGCAACCCAAACCAAGGGGAACATGACCAGGAAATGATTATGGTGCAGACAAAGGAGGAAGTGGGAGAATGCTACGAGTCAGACAAACTGCAGGCCAACAGCAGCTCTAAGGACCAGGTGGTCACACCAGTCGATGAAGACAACTGCTTCCAGCCGACCATGGCTTCCTTGTCAGCCTCCACATCATCAGCAGCCAGCAGCCACAGCCAGAAGCCCAGGAGCGGTCTAAAGAGCCACACCAGCAGCAAGGCCAGAGCGAAAAGCAGCAGGTCCAAGGTGAGCCGCAAGAAGAGGAAGCAAAAGAAGGTGCGTTCCAAAACCGTGGAGGGTGAGATCTCCATCACCAAGGGTTCTCCAAGTGATAAACAAGATCATGAAACTGGACAGATTGAGAACTCACTTCCTGATTTATCACAGTACCTGAAAGGGAAGAAGCTTCCTCCTGAAGGAATACCTGGCATCGACCTCTCAGACCGCAAGCAGCTGGAAACATTTACTAAAGTGAAGGTCAATCAATGCAAAGATGGTGCTCCAAAAACAGTAGCTTGTACTCATGAAGGCTGTGTAAAGATGTTCAATAATAACTCTACTATGAGAAAACATCTGCAAAGCCACCGTCCCAGAGAGTACGTATGTACAGAATGTGACAAAGCATTTATTGACAACTCAAAACTAAAACGGCATCAACTGGTGCATAGCGGAGAGAAGCCATTTCAGTGCATGTTTGAAGGCTGTGGAAAACATTTTTCCCTGGATTTCAATTTGCGTACACATATGCGAATCCATACAGGTGACAGGCCATACGTGTGTCCTTTTAATGATTGTAACAAGAGCTTTACTCAGTCAACTAACCTGAAATCTCATATCTTAACACATGCTAAGAAAAAAAATGGCCGAAAGAAAAAAGACCGTTCTTAAACTCAGGAAGCTCCTTCGAGAAGTGCAATTGGAAGAAAATATGCTTCTCTTTTGTATTTTGTTTCTAGGAAAGGTTCTAAATTCATACATACACATCTAGGAGTCATGTTTTAATAGAGTAGTAAAAAAAAGTAAAAAGTAAAAAAAAAATCCTCTCTATAACATTGTTAAGATTCTCTTTCTTGTATTGTAATACCATTTGAAAAGCATGGTGGTCTTGTAATGTTTAGTCCCGCCAGGAGGATCATCAAAAGATAGTTCTTGCCAACTGCCAAAAATAGGACTTATGTTTGCATCCTTTTAAATATTAAGTTTACATGTTGTTTATGACTTCAGAAAGTTCTTTATTTTGCAAATGTTCATGATTACACTTCTGGGAATATAATTAGTAATTCTATATGTGGCCTTTCTAGAGGTTGGTTAATTTGCTGGCAGTAGATGTTAAAAGAATTAAGTTACATGTATATGTATACACTTTCTTGTTTTAAAAAAAATAACTTTTTTTGCTATCTTTATTTTGGTTGTAGTCTTTGATGGTAACACAATTTGCAGAACTATTTTAGCTGCATTAAGTTGTGTAGTATTGAATATTACTGATTTAGTGGTATTATCAATGGAAGCCTATTTTATTTCTCTAAAATTCTCCCAGGTACATGCAGTGTAATTCTTTGCCTGTTCAGTTAGAAAGTGGTGCTCAGCTATATAATGTCTTGTGTACATGTTCACTTTTTAACACTTGATATGTACATCTGGTGTAATAGAAAAAGCAAAAATAAAAAACCTGAAGTCAGAAAAAAATGTGCCTGTATAATTGCTGTAGCTAGAAAATAGCAAAAACGGGGAAGGTGCTGCTGGCATCTGGGAGTAGAGACCAGGGATGCTTTTAAACACCCTACAGTACACAAGGCAGTCGCCTGCTGTAGAGAATTATCTGGCCCCAATGCCAGTAGTGCCACTACTGAGAAGCCCTGCTGCTGAGAAAGTGAAAGCTGTTAAGATGTCTTTGGTGTACTTATAAACATATCACTAATGGCCTAGATGTTAAGTAAAGGAAATATGTCCCACCACCCTCACTGCCACTTATCCTAGGCAAATCTGAAACATAGAGGGGTAATCTGGTACTAGATATGTCCCTGGAAGGAGATAGGTGGCTGCCCCAGAGTCAAAGAGTCAGTGCTACTGTGTGTGCCCTTACTGCTGTTGGGATGGGAAAAGCTTCGTGTGGTGGTATGATCCTGATGAGAGAGCGTGAGGTTGCAAGCACCCAGGCGGTCCTGGCGAGCTGTTCCATCCTGTGGAGTTGGGGAGAAAGCTGAATTTAGTACACAACAACAGTGATAAATCTAATCAATGGGGATGGATGATTTTATGAACTTGTGTTGGGACTAGCAACTGGTGGTGCAGAGCGCGGTGGCAGCGCAGTGGGGGGATGTTAACAAATACATTCCTAAATTAGTTTAACTAGAATAAATTCCAGTGGGTCAAAGAATTAGAGTGTTTTAATTGTATTTTTTAAATGAAGCTATGAAAGCAGTACAAGAAAACAGAGGTATCTTCTATAATATATTTGTTTATAGAATATCTTCTATAATCATAAACTAGAAAAAGCTTAATACAGAGGAGCTGTTTGACCGCACCGAACTTTAAAATGTCTGTATAGGCAAAACTATAAGCCAAGTCAAACAACAAACTGGAGGGGAAAATTACAATACTTTTACAAAGGACCAAATTCCTCATATATATATTAAATAATAATACATACAAATTAGTTAAAAAAAAAAAGGCGACCTAGTCAAAATGTGTTAAAACAGGCAGCAGATAGAAATAGTTCTCAGACAGAAAAAAACAGCCTTTTAATAAACATGAAAAATGTACAAACTCATAATTAAAGAAACAGAAAACAAGACAAAGCAATTTTACTTTTCACCTAGCAGATGGCAGAGTCTAAAATTATGATAGCACAGTGTTGTTTAAAGAGTGGGGAAATATATGCCAATTATGAGAACATAAATTAATGCAAACTCATTGGAGGTCAGTTTTGAATGCATATATTGACCCAACAATTCCATGTCTGTGTAATTTTCCATACCCTCAGAAATGCATACTTAATTAGATATATAATAGTATAAGCAAAACTGTTGAAGCATTTGTGAAAAAGTTAAAACAGCTTAAGTGATCATTAGTAGGGAACTTTATAAATAAGTCATAAATAGGTTTTTAAAAAAATTGATTACTCTGTGGTAGATATATGAAATGGGCATTCTGATATGTAATGGATATCAGTAAATATCCATATCAGTAAATGATAAAGTAATGGATATAAGAAAATTAGTAAAGTAGTGTATGTAAGAAGTGGGATAGATAAGAATGTGCTGATAAGGAAAAAGTCCAGAATATATATAAATGAAAAAGCAAAATAAACATTTTCAATAAGTAGTTTAATACCATTGGTGTTTTTAAAACTTTCTGTGTAAGGAACAGAAAAACTTGCTTACCCAATATGTCCTGGACTAGACTTACTCTGGGTATTTCTGGAATTTAACAGCTTAGAACACTAAAAAAAAAAATGTAGGAACATCTTACAATGTGAATATGGTACATAGAACAAGTAAGTATTAACTAGGTATCTGGCTGCTGTAATGTCTAAAAAAATCAGTGGTTTAAACTCTCATAAAACATTCCAAATGTCAATAGATCAGCACTGACAGGATAATTCTGTGATTTGGGGGACTCAGGCTCTTTCTGTCTTGTTAGCTCTTCTTTTCCCAGCCTGCAGCTTCTGTGTTATGGACTCAGATTTAGCTCTATGGTAGCTAAATTCCAGTCAAGTAGGCCAAGGATATTCCTATCATTTCCACTCACATCCTCCTGGCCAAAGCATAGCCATAGGGCCATACTCAACTTCCTAAGAGTCTGGGAAATGTCTTCAGTTTACATTTCTATCGTTGTAGGACACTGGCTCTCAACCACTGGTGCTGTTACCCTCCTGGGGATGTTTGGAATGTGAGGGGTGGGGCATGATTTGCTTGCCTAGGTGACCAGAGAACACTAATGGCATTTAGTGGATGGGAGCCAGAAATGCTAAATGTCCTGTAATGTAAGGGACAGACAGCTAAGAATCACACTGCTCAGAACGCTAGCTCTGAAAGGGAGAGTAGAGAGCTCTGATATGTAGTATTTGCTGGTTTCTGTGGTGTAAATACTCCCACCATGGCCAGTTTCAAGGTGCCAACTTGAAGTCCTTGAAGGAGGAATTGGGAATTAATGCACGTAGTTGGCTGTGGCAAACTGGTAGAAGCAGCCTCCAGCATACCACTAGGTTCACCTAACCATCTCTATATATGGTAGATATGGTTACAGTCTGTGACATGTAAGATACATACTGTATTTGGTCCATCAATATTTCTCTCCATATTTGAAACCAGTATAAGATTGTATACCAACTGCTTCAATAAAAACAAATAAATAAAAACATTACAGAAATATATATATATGTATATATATTACTCTCCATAATAGTGTAATTCTTAAAACAAGTACCATTTGGATTTCCATATCCCAGTTCAGTAAGAATGTATTTTATTTCACCTTAACTTATTTAAACAGCTTTGAAGTTCTTTTCAAAGATTGCAAGTATGTTTAAATTAATAATGTATACATTTTCTGAATGGTATAGTAACTAGGAGATATTCATGTTATATATATATTCATGAGATATTCGTGTTATATATATATCATAGAAGTGTGTAGATAGAGAGAAAATAGAATATAGATTCTATTAGTGTTCAATAATTTTAGTATGTGGTCTTCCAAATGTATTAATATGGGCATTTTACATTTCAACATCTGAAATGGAAGAAGCCTCTAACAGAACATCTGTCCACTATATTATTAAGTAGTTCTACCTCACAGATTCATGAAAGGTTACTTTACTAATTTATCAGAATGCCCAGGTATTATGAGGTCCAATCACCCCTGCCCCTGGTTGAGCTTATATTCCTTTTTTTCTCTCTCTTCAGGTATCTGGCATAATTTCGTCCTTGCACTGCTGGGTATTTTAGCTCTTGTCCTCCTCCCTGTAATTCTCTTGCCATTTTACTACACTGGAGTTGGGGTGCTTATCACTGAAGTTGCTGAGGTAAATAATGGATTGTTTGCGACATTCTGTCACCAGATTTTGTGATGTAACACTTAGCATTCTATGTCAGCAACTTTTATTCAGATCCTCCTTATATACAGAATGCTCAGTTTCTCCTGAAGAAATTGCTGTAATCCTCTCAAATCAAAGTTTTGTGAAACACATTGGCTTTTTATAAATACTAAAAATTATTTGTTCTGAGTTACATAGGTAATACCAAGATTTTCTACTTGTAGTTTGTTTATAAAATGTCTCATTTACTTTTACTATTTATATCTGAACTGCTCTTGAGTCAAATGTCTTTACTTCTAAGAAGAAAGATGAAACGTAGGCTAGCCAGTGGGAACATTTCATGGGAGTTTAAGTTAATATCTTCAACTCAGTATTTTATTCCCTTAGACAATAATTATTATGACAGCATCAAGTCTTCTACTCAGACTTTGGGAAGAGGAAAGTTACCTTTGTGAAAGCAGGTGCACATATTCATTGTGCTGATGGTATTGTCTGCATATTTGGGACTGTGTTAACATAAGGATTTGTCTTACATTTCATCCACTGAGGATAAAGTCAAATGAACGCATTCTGATGACTGCTTTCATGAAAAATTTTAATTAGCCGTTTGGGAAAAACTTTTATCATTTTAATCTTAACAGTTGGCGAGCAGAGTGTTTGTTCAGCTGCAAAAGTTTCAAAATTTTGGAGAAGTAGGAAAAGTAAATTGTTGGGTTTTAGTTAATTTTCTAGGACTATTCATCTTGGATTCAAAGCTGGATTATTCAAAATAGTCTACTTAATTAGCTCAGTGTCTTCAACTATTATTTGCTCAGATTAATCATAGCTTGTCTTCATACTTATCTGGTTTGGTTTTGCCCTCTTCCCAAGGACTCACCTGCCATTGGACCCAGAGGCCTTTTTGTGGGAGACCTTGTCACCCATCTACAGGATTGTCCAGTTACTAATGTACAAGATTGGAATGAATGTCTAGATACCATCGCCTACGAGCCCCAAATTGGTTACTGTATAAGTGCATCAACTTTACAGCAGTTAAGCTTCCCAGTTAGAGGTGTGTATATTTTCTCAGTATAATATAATGCTCCAGGCGGGAGTATTTGGCCATTCACCAATGCTTAGACCATGTCTGCCAATTTATTTTCTAATTTCTTTAAAAAAAATCAGTAAACTAAGAACAGGCCCAAACTAGTAAACAGTCTTCCTGATAAGCTGGATACTAATATGTATATTTTCTGTAATATATATTGTTGTAGAACTTCTAACTAATTTCATAGCATTATGTTTGACTTTCAGGAGACTCTAGTACCTAATTCTTTCTGCATTCAAAAAAACTCATGTTAAGTTAGCTTTCAAGCACAACCACAACCAATTGACTGTGCAGTATGGATAATAGCATGTCCAAAGCTATTTGGGGTAGAGTTATTTTATGTGGCAGCATCCATAGGAAGTCATCTAGGTGTCCAAAAATACCCCCTGAAGTCAGTCAGATCTGTTGTTCTGTGTAGCAGGTGACAGGGTGAAGCAAGTTTATTCTCAGAAGCTGCCAAGTTTATTTTGATTTCTTTGAATTCTGAAAAATCAACCTCCCACCTCTTTATGCAAAATCATGGGGGGCCCAAATCATTCAAAGTGTTGGAAAATACAAACT